CTGGATTTGGGATCAGGTGAGCGTTCTTTGCTTTCAAAAAAGGGAATCAATCATCTTAGCGACCTGGCGTGGCATTCCATTGAGCTGACCCACAATCACCATAATGTCACCATGACTGTGGACCGAAACTCTCACACCAGCCTCCACATGCCAGGACCTGATGTGGAGCTCAGTACTGAGGATGGATTTTTTATTGGTGGGGTTAGTGGGCTGAACCACCCCTACCTTCCCAACATTTTCACCAATTTTAGAGGTTGTGTAGATGAAGTTGTGTTCAATGGACATAACCTGTTGTCCAGCCTAAGGCCGTATTCTGGTTACAGGACTGTTCATGAAGTATCCTTAGGTTGTAGTCTGCAGTTTTCTGCAAAAGAAGGAGAACCTATCAGTTTTCTTAGCTCCAAAGCCTTCATTGCACTCCCGCCATGGGAGGTACCACAGGAAGGGATGTTTGAGTGTGAATTGTACCCCTCTGCAAAAGAAGAAGATGGTATTGTGCTATACAGCTCCAGCAACCAGAGTGGGTTTGTTGCAATAGAGCTCAGAGAAGGTCACCTGGTGGCAATGGTGGGAAATGGAGAGGGGATTAAAACTGAGCTGCGGTCACTAACACATGTCCAGAGCAAACCGACATGGCTCCCCATCCAGCTGCATTTGCTGCCTCACTTTGTCCAGCTGAAAGTAGGCAAAGAGTTAATCAAGGCCAACCGTAGTCTGGAACTCCAGGTCATCCAGCTCAAAGGGTCCCTCTTCCTGGGAGGGCTGGACCAACATGCATGGGAGGGAGCAAGGCGAGCTGGGTTGCTTTCTACCTCATCTGCAGGAGCAGCCTCATTTAAAGGCTGCCTCAGGGCAGTTAAGGTGAACACTCAAAAGTTGGGTTTACCTCATGCCATTGTCACCAAGGATATCACTGTGGGCTGTAATACAGGAGGAGCTCCAGACACTGTGACCACCACCAGCCCAACAGATAGTACTGAATTTGATGTTACAACCACACAACCAGTTAGCAATGATAAGAAGAACTTTTTGTTGCTGAGAAAGCTAGAGGTATCAGAGGGAGGTCGGGCACCGCTGGAGCCTAAACACATTAAGGTAGGACTGGTTGTTCCTGCTCATCAGTTTTTCTATTATCACAGTGCCTAATGTTTCTGATATGTAAATGTCAATAAAAGTACAGTAAGTTACATAGTTAACACTACTAATGTGTGAGTGTGTTCTTGCTTGCATATCTTTCCAGGTGAATATGGATTTCCGGAAACTGGGCATCCATCCATCACAGTTGATGTTCTGTGTTGAGGAGCAACCTGTCCATGGCCAGCTTCGGCTGGACCACAGAACAGACCCTGGCAGGATGCTGGATGAGGGGCAGGAGGGTATTCTCAAAACAGGAGCTGAGGAAAAGGATAGGGCTTTCAGTATGCTTGACCTGTGGCACGGCCGGGTGATGTATATTCATGGGGGGTCAGAGGACCAGAATGACTCCTTCATGTTTTCAGTCTTCTCCAGCAAAAAGAAGGAGCTACCAATGCTTCTAAGGGGCAAGCACCTGCACCGGTTTAATATCAGCATTAGTCCTGTTAATGATGCACCTGTGCTCAGCCTTCCTGAGGGAAATCTTTTCACTCTTGTGAAGAACTCCAAACAAAAGGTAGGCAAAACAGAAAGCTAGGATAATATGTATATATTAGTTAATTAAGCACAAGAAAATGTAAATTAATATATCCAACAATGTCCCCAGCTGACAACAGATGTGCTGAGAGTGTCAGACCCTGACAGTAGTCCTGCAGAACTGGTGTTCAGCTCCCTTGGAAACCTCAACACTGAAGCTGGACACCTTGAGCACCAGGATTACCCTGGCAGGTTGGCGCTATGGCATGTGAGGTTTTATAGTACCTCACAAATCTTGTTACAACTAGTCACCGCGGTCTGTTGGTCTAGAAAATAAAAGATGCCTGAAAAAGGTCTTGATCATCAAACCAAGCAGAGTAGGAAAGAGACTACATATGTTAACAGGGTTGTATTTATCCTCCAGGGCCATTAACCTGTTTTCCTTGAACGATTTGGAAGCTGGTAAAATCAGCTTTGTCCACACTGGGGTCTCCACCTCCAGGCTGGCACTGAGGGTTAGCGATGGCCAAAAGGTAAGTAAAGTATTGTAGTAGCTATTTTGTTGGATTGCCATGATGTTTGGTGTCCATGTTACCCAGAGGATGATTCCTAGAAACTTTAGTGATCATCTGTCATTTCTTGTAGCACCACCAGCAGGTCAAAATATTGACTTATTCATTCAAATATTTATATGCATCACAAAATGTACAGATATTCATGGTGCGGATGAATGAATGAATGAAATTAAAGTAAACCTGAATTAATCAGTGTTAAACATTATACCTGCAAAATATCACTATGTCAGCATTGTCTCTCTTCTCTGGTTTCCTGTCTTTCAGTCCATTCTCATCTCTTATCCTATCTTCTGGTATTTTCTTGTTTCCTCTCCTTCTCACAGTTGAGCAATACAGTCGTTCTGAGGATTATGGCAGTGGCACTCCAACACAAACTGGCAAATTATACTGGACTGGAGGTGAACCAGGGCGAGGCTTCTGTGATCACCACCAGTTACCTTGCAGTACAAGTTAATGTGGGTGATCAAGCAGTGGAAATCCGCTATGATGTTACAGAGTTGCCAAAATATGGTGAGCTCCAGAGGCTGCATTCAAGTGGTGAATGGAAACCGACAACTTTCTTCTCACAGAAACTTCTAGCAAAAGAACGGATCCGATACCTCAGTACTTACCATGGTCTTCAGACTCAGAACAACATCACTGATCAATTCAAATGTAAAATCAGCATTGGTTCCCTGGCAACCGAGGAAGTTGTTTTCCCCATCTTTGTACGTTGGCTCCGCTTTAAGGTCACACGCAGTAAGATGGAAGTCAACGGTGTTCAGATGGCTGCTGTCACTTCAGAGGACCTCTATGTGATTTCTAAGGGTGTCAAACTTAATGAGAGTGTTCTTTACTTCAGGCTCCTAACAGTGCCAAAGAAGGGTCAGCTATTCCTCAACAACAAAGTTCTACAAAGGAACGCAACATTTAGCCAGAAAAATATCACAGATGGTTTGGTCAAGTACGAGCTGCTCAACAGGCTACATGATGATACAAAAGACACGTTCAGCTTTCAAGTGTTTTCGACACATGCCAGCTCAATAAGTTACAACTTCAGAATCATAATCAAAACTGAGTCAACAGCCATCACTATTGTAAGCAAAGGCCTTTCAATTCTAGAAGGAGGGAGTAAGGTCATCACCAAAGATATCCTGTTTGCTCACACAGAAAGTAACCAGGAGGTCCAGTATAGCATTATGGTGAGACCCATGCATGGGCAGATAAGAAAGATCAATCTCTCCAACTCAACTTCCATTAATGACAACATTGTCACCTTCACAAATCAGGATATTGTGAAAGAGAGGATCATGTATGTTCACGATGACAGCGAGACCAAGCAGGATTCTTTTACATTTCAAGCCATGGTTTACAAACCACATAAACGCTCCAACAAGAAGGAGGACAGAAACACCACTGAGCACACCTTTAATATCTCTGTGCAGCTCGTCAATGACCAGAGACCTATCAGAGTTGTTGATAAAGTTTTCCATGTGGCCCGTGATGGTCAGAGGTTGGTGACTTTGAATGACCTTCGTTACCGGGATGATGACTCGGACTTTGAGGACAACTGGTTGGTGTATACACGGAGGGGGATTCCCATGGGAGAGCTGGTGCTGGCCAGTGATCCTAGTCACAAGCTGTATGAGTTCACACAACAAGACCTTGAGCAGGTTAGCTTGGAAAGGTGTGAAGGGAGGAGTCTGAAGATCAGACAAGCACCTTGCTTGAAGCACACTGGCACCTTAAAACAGGAAATGTAGTTTTGAGCTCTAGATTGTGGAAGTGAAATACAATGCACATCGTTACATGTATTTTCTTTTTCTGGATGTATTTATTATACTGTATACCAATGAAAAACATATTTAAAAGGACACTTATGTAGCTTTTTGTCTTAAATTCTTTTTCCACTATGACACAAACTACACAAATCACAACATAGAAATTTCACCTTATTAATTGATTTGATTTGTTTTATTCTGGGCATTTTAATTCTTCCATACTGTTATCTGCAGTTTATTTGGCATGCTGGTGCTGTTTCCACTCCTGTCCTCTTCTTTTCTCTCAGGAAAAGGTGCTGTTTGTCCACAGAGGAGTGAGTTTCGGGCGCTTTGTGCTTTTTGTATCAGATGGAAAACATTATGTTTCCACACTGCTGGAGGTGATTTCAATGACTTCACTATATAGTTTTTTCCATCAATCAGCATAAATGTAAAATCACAGCAGCTGACTGCTGCTGTAACAAATTCTTTCTGTTGTGTAACTTGCTGCTACAGGTGATGGCCCAGGATCCTTACCTGCAGGTGGAGAACAACACAGGTCTTGTAGTCCAGAGAGGTGGGATCATGACCCTGACCTCCACTAACCTCAGCGTTTTGAGCAACCTTGACATCCGGGACTCACAGGAAGTGACATTCGAGGTCTTCCTCCCACCTAAACATGGTGTACTCTGCTTTAATGATGGAGATTATGACACTGTCACTGAATCAGATGCGATTTCAGTATTCACCCAGCGGGATCTGGTGGCAGGGCACTTGGCGTATCGTCACGATGGTAGCGACAAATTGTCAGATGGGTTCAATGTGACAGCAAGAGCAAGGGAGAGGAGCACAGTGAGTCACCTGGACAGAGGGAGGAGGGAAGTGCATCTGGACATTGGAGTTTCTGTAAAAATTTACCTGCAGAGGCTGCCAAAGGTCATAAGCAATCATCCAGTGGTTGTAGTGGAGGGACATAATGTCTCCATAAGCAGGGAACATTTAGAGGTAATTCAATAATCATAACACAGTCAAAGACTCACTCACTATTACTTAAACAGATTGTGAAATACAATATGTAGGCCTTCAGAATTCACATTCTAGCCTGTTTTTGTTTCTCACAAGTTAGTCACATCTAGAACCAGCCAGTGTATCAACATTAACTGCTTATTTTCTGTGATCATAATGTAGGATTTTATGTATCATTTCCCAAGTTAATCAGAAGAATATTAAAGTTGTTTAAGATTGAGGTCTTTATTAATAAACGTAGCATATTTCTGTAATTTCAAATATGCACCTACTGTATGTTTTCTTTTCAATAGGTGGTCCATGAGGACAGCCAGCCATCAGAAATAGTTTTTACTGTTCAAAGTCCTCCCACCCTGGGCTTTCTTCAGAGGTCCTCCCCCATCAACAAACATCAGAATAACAATAGAGGAAAAGAGCCCCTCTATCAGGTATAGCAAACTTTAAAACCAGCTGTAGTTAGTCTGAGATTTATTTCTGTCTGGTTAAAAACGGTGGACCCCAAAATCAAACAGAGACAAAAATCTCTGTAGGGCCAAGGGAAATGTAGCGTTGGCTGATTACGGCGATGTTTGTTGACCGTTTTCACATTCATACTTTGATTGTAAAAGAAAAATATTAATTTGTGGACCTTTAAGTAAAAAAAAACTGTAAAATATAGGGCTTTAAGACACTGACCAATGTCCCTACTTCCAGTCTAGTCAGGGCTCTTTGTAACATGTCAGTCCCTACATCTCTCTCCTTATTCTCTGTCAAATCCAATAAAGGCAAAAAATAGCCCAAAATATCTTAAAAAACTGTACTACATGTAATACAATTACTCCTAGGTTTTTTTATAATGACAGGAATGATTGCTTAGTTGAGCACAGCTTGATGATAATGCTTATTTTTTTATCCCAGCTGTATGCTGTGTCCCTTCTTCCTAGTTAATATTTCCCATCACGTTCCACTTTGATCTATCAAAATAAGCAAAGGATTGACTCAAAACAGCACTTTAAGGGTTTGTTTGCTCTGCTTCTCCCTACAGGACACCAAAGAGCAGCAGACAACATCCTTCACTCAGAAAGACCTCAACCAGGGGTTGATCCTTTACCATCAGCAATCGACAGGAAGCACTAGTGACCGTCTTTTGTTGGAGGCAACCAACGGTGTCACAAAGGTCGGCCCTATCACACTGGAGATCGATATCATTCCTATTCTGCTCCCTCTACAGGTGCAGTATGTCTAGAGAAAGAAATTAATTTTACCACTGAAGTAGGTGTAAGTTTAGCAATTACAAGCCAGTCTGTTATTATTTTTTCTTTGTTGGGTTATTGTGTAGGTATCTAACTTGACACTTGATGAGGGGTCATCCCTTCTGCTGACCTCTGACATCATTAAGGTCGCCAGTCACCACTTCTCAGGCATGAGCTTCCTGTATCAAGTCATCATTCC